CCAGATTAAGCTAAGCGGAATAGTGAGGTAATGCAAAACTGTCATATTCAGTTCAGTTCAACATTTAGTGCCTGCCATATATAAAGCACTGTGCTAAGGGTAGGGAAAATAGAAAGCTAAATAAGGTGTTCTCCCTCCCCTCATAGAATTTACAATCTAATAGTAAGGGTACACTAAATAAATGACTAATATAAAGTGGAACATGAGCATAAGAGATATAATATATAATTTAATCAAAATCAAAAATTCTCAGAAATGATTTAGTCCAGTCCCTCAGGTTTTATAAGTCCAAGTGTAATACTTTTTTTCACCATCTTGAGGTTCTTTAAAATACTTTACCTCAATCCTTTGACTTCTGTGATGGCCACCAAGACCTACCTCTATTCTTATCCATGCAATATTTCTTTTTCTGGGCTTGCCGTCATCCATCCCTCATATTTTGTTTTTGTGCACCTTTGATACTGCCTGTGTGACTTTGGACAAATCACTTAAGCATTCTGGGCCTCTGTTTCCTCATCTGCAGGGGTTACAATAAGATGGCCACTGAAATACCTTCAAGCTCTAGATCTACCAGTGAATCAGTAAATATTTATTAAGTGCCTACTGTGTGCTAGGCACTATGCTAAACACTGAAGACACAAAAATAGTCAAAAGATAGTCCCTGCCCTCAAGGAACTTATAATCTACTGGAGGCAACATGCAAATAAATATATGCAAAGCAAGCCATACACAAGATAAATGGGAAATAATTAACATAGGGAAGGCTTCCTGTAGAAGTTGGGATTTTAGTTAAGACTTAAAGAAGCCAAAGAATTCATTAAGCACAGTTGAGGAGGGAGATCATTCCAGGTATGGGGAACAACCAAAAAGAATGTCTAGAGCCTAGAGATGGAATTTCTAATTCATGGAACATCCAGGAAAAGCCAATGTCACTGGATTGGAGAATATGTGAGAAGGAGTTAAGTGTAAGAAGACAGGAAAGGTAGGAGGGGGCTAGGTTAGGAAGAGCTTTGAATGCCAAACAGCATTTTGTGCTTGGTCCTGAAGATAATAGAAAGCCACTGGAATTTATTGAGTAAGGGATGACATGATCAGACCTGTATTTTAGGAAAATCACTTTAGTGGTTTAATGGAGGATGGATTGGAGTGGGGAGCAACTTGAGGCAGACTTACCTACCAAAAGACAATTGCAGTAATCAAGGCATGAGGTAATGAGTGGGTCTATACCTGAGTGGGGACAGTGTTAGAAGAGAGAGGGATATGTATATATTTCCCAAAATTACTACTTTTGTAAAAAAAAAGTCATTTTTAGGCTAATCCACTTAGTATTTGGTATGTTTTATTCAACATCTATTTTAAAATCTTAGTCTTAAGATTTGGGAAAAAATTATTTCAACAGTTAAAAAAAACTATTTTAAGTAATATTATACCTTTTGAAAGACATACTTGAGTTAAGAATCTTAAGTGTGGTTTCTTGTCCTTTTGCCTAGATGTTAAATTACTTGAACAGAAAATACTGTCCATTTCTACCACCTATGGTATTACGTTTTGATTGAAAAACAAAAGGGAATTAGAGCCAATTTTCTTACAGAGGTCTAAGTTAATTTTCTACTCATGATTAGCAAAAAAAAATCCTTTTCACCTTTGCATAAATCCCAAATATTTACTGTGGTAGAAGGTACATTAGACTAGAAATCAATAAAATCATGATGCCCGTGACTCATACCCTTTTTCCTATCATGTTGAGCAATGATGTCAAATTCCAAAGAAACAGGGACCACAAATTCATAAATAAGCATCCCTACAGGTCACATATTGACTTAGTTTTAAAATATAATTTTGTATTTTTATTTATTTTGTTACATATTTCCCAGTTACATTTTAATCTAGTCCAGGCAGCATCTCTGCTGTAGAGAAGCTGGGTAACAGGCTGATACTAAGAATTAGTGCTAATTACTGATCAATTTAGACCATTCACCTCTAGAACTTACCTTTGCATACCCAGATAGTGCCTCCAATGAACTCCCAGTCTGACTGAAAGATATAGTTGCCTCTCAAATGCTCATAATGTAGGTTTCTACCTGGGTAAGTAGTTCTTTAGGAAAACTGAATTTTCTGTAACTAATGCCAGTCCTTTTAAGGCCAGAAGATTTTAGTTCAGGGTCAGAGTTCAGTGACCAGCACTGACTTCTGTACAGCTTCTTAATATTCTTTGTATAGAGAGAACCCACATGGAAGCTTTCCTTTCTGGCCAATTATTGACTTCAGGTTCCTAACTCAGTCCTAATCTACCCGTGCTAGACAAAACAACCCACTTAAATCAGTTTACCTAGTAACAGTACCGTCATGACCATACCCTGTGACTAGTCCTTACTACTTCAAGGCAGCTTTTAATCCCATCATTGATGGCACTTCTGCCTCCCAAATATAGGCCATTGTGTTTTAGTCACTCATATTAGATTCAAAGGCCCTGGAGTATCAACCAGGGCCATTTGAAGGAGACCAATGCTTCCTTTTAAGGAGCTATTTTCAGATTGCATAGTCCTATGAACATCACCACCCCAGGAAGTACTGGGTTTGGAATCAAGTTACCTGGGCTCAAACCCCACCTCTCTGTTACCTGTGTGATTGAAACTCAGTTTCCTCACCTTTAAAATGTGAGGATTAGACTAGAAGGCCTTCTAAGTCTTTATCTATGATCCACAAATCCAATGACCATATTCATGGACCATAGTTCTAACCTACAGAACCAAGAGGCACTTAAGAGGGGTCATCTACCTCAGCATATACCTGAAAAAGAATCCCTTCATCATACTTCAGTAATGGTCATCCAACCTTTGCCTAAAGACCTCCATTTAAGGCAGACTATCACTTTCCAAGGGGGCACTTTCCAATTTTATATTAAACCTTACTATCAATATATCTAAATATCCCTCTCTGCAGTTTATGCCCATTGCTCCTAATTCTGCCTTCTGGGGCCAATCAAAACTACTCTAATCCCTCTTCTACAAGACAGCTTTTCACATACTTGGAGACAGCAATCATGTTCTCCTTATGGTTGTGGAGGTGATATAGTCCCAATGTACTCAATCTTGATCAGAATCCAGAAAAATTAAATTATTCTTATTAATAATTTATAAAAATCAGCATTAAAACGATTCTTTTGGAGACGTGAATTTCCATGCTACTCACGAAACTCCTTGACTATTTTGAACATAGATTTCTATATTTGAATACAGCTTCCCAATGAACTAATAATGTGTTCTCCAGTTATGGCATGTTGCCTACAGTGTTCTTGTACACAATAGAAGGTTGTTGGGGGTTTTTTATAATATAGCAGTAAAAAGGTCATAATTTGTAGTAATGGTATTATAATTAAGTTGTGGTGAACAGCAACATTTATGTGTTTCATTTCCAGAATGATTCATAAAATACTGAAATTTACACAGACTCAATAATTTGTGTTAATGTAGTTAAGTGGAAATGTAATCTTCTCACTCAGTTTGCTTTAGCAGTTTGAATATTGCTTGGTTATAGACATTTTTACATTTCTAAAAGTAGTATTCTTACAGAGTTACATAAAATATCCATTAAAATAAAACATAGCTTAAGGCTTCATTTTCCTGGTAGACAATAAAATACCCAAAAGCATGTAGAAGTGGGTCTGTGACAACTGACAGCATGTGCTTTAGTCAAGTTCATACCTAATCCCTTCTTTTCTTTCTCCTGCAGTCATTGGTTTGGCCCTGGGGCCAGGACAGAACATGGCCAGGTAAGACTCATTCTGATCAAGAAAGAGTTCACACCATCTATTTCAAGATTTAATCTTCTCTTTGATCAGCTTTATAAGAATAAAAAACATAAAACCTACCATTTTTGGTTTTAAGTAGAAGAGATTGTGACATCAACAGCAGTGGGAAAGGAAAATTTTCTTTTGACTAATTCACTTAATGGAATGATTTTCAGTAAAGATCAGAATTCTGACTTAGTATAGGTTACCTCAGTAACTGGTTTAACCTCAGTGGTAGTTCTTTGGGTCTCAAGTTTTATCAAGACTTCATTTTTTTTTCAAAAAGCAAAGTATCAGAAGTACGTCTTCTAAAAAATAATGCTTGATTTTTAGTAACAACAAGGTAAGCTACACAGTAAATAATTTGAGCTTGAATGGGATGTAGAAATATTTTGCATAATTAAGGATACAGTACATTCATAGATGGTTTCTTTGGTAAAAATCACTTATTCATGTGCTTGACTACGCAAGAACTAGATGATAAAACTGGAACTTGTTATTCCATTTTAATTGCACATAAAAGTAAGTTACCTGCCTTCTTTGTCCTTTGAATATAATAGGTTCTTAATTAGAAGCAGGCTCATGGAACTTAGAGACAAAGTTAGTAATAAGTTTTAAGGTAAATACATTTTTTACTTTTCATTGTGTTCCACGAAAATACTGTGCTTAGTAGATGTCAAGTCCCAGGAGAAGAGATAACTTAACCTTTATTCACCTTTTGAATTGTTCCCTTTGCCCTCAAAAGATATTAAATTTTAATTTATTGTGGAAAATCTTTTTTTGAAGGGGGAGGTGAGAATGCTGAAAAGTATTCTTTAATAGTTGTTTAAAGTTTGCAAAATCAGAGGACATAGATCTTTTAACTTCCATTCTTTGGTTTCTCATCAACACTTCAAACTCATTTATTCCATAGGGAGTTTATTGTCTTTCTCCTTAAACCTTCTGACTTCACCATTTCTGACTGTGGCACTACCATGTTCTTTGTGTTCCAAGTACATATCCAGAGCTTTTTTGGGGGGGGGGGGGTAGGAGGAAGGGGAGATAGAAACATTACCATGCAGTTTACCCTAAAGCAGATTTTATTTTAAGATAACGCTTGACCTAGGAAATAGCCTTTGTTTTTCTGAATTTTACTTTGATTCTTATTCTAAAATTTTCAGATAGTATATACATCTGACATTAAATATTAATACAGGAAAATAGCCTTGTTTAAAAGATATGCTGACTAGGCTGAAAGGTAAGAGCTATAACTTAATACTTATTTTTTCCTCTTTATTCAGGTCATAAAATTCAGACCTTCCACCTTTCTAGTCTGGTGATGTCCCAGCATGTACAGTGCTTGTGATGTTCATCACAGGATTCTTCTGCCAATGGAGGGCGGGTCAGTTTATATTTTCTCCAAAAATGCATGGTTTTCAAAGGCTGATTTTATATCCTTTGGGAATCATTTAAAATAATTCTAAAAGCACCTTGTAAATCCATGTGTTTTGGGTTAAAATATATCTTGATATCTCCAGGCAGCCTCCCATCTGCCAAAAAAAAAAATTGGTATCTGTAACTGGGAAAAAAAGTAACATCATAAGTCGGGTTTTATTTACATTCTTATTTTAAAGGATAAAACGTTTATTGAAGTTAGAACCTTATCAATATATTGATGACCCTGTGGTCTTCCATTTTGATGTTTCAATAACCACTGCTCTAGAATCCTTATTTGCCTTGATTTTTGGTCATTCTTGGCCTACTAATAATTTTCATCCCTGGGCAACTCCTACTGTCAAGTTTGTTACCCTCTGCTTCTAGACTGCCAAAAATCAGCAGAAAAAGAAAACAGCAAATTTCACTCTTGACATATTTATAACTTCATTTTAGTCTTTGATACTGCTTGACATTCCTGCTCCATCCTTCTTGACTCACTCTTCATATAGACCATTCCAAACCTTTTCGTCTCTCATCAGACCCCCCAACCACATACCTGCCCTCCCCCATACATACATACACACATATTTATAGCAGATAGCTTAGCCCCTTTCTTCTCTGAGAAGTTGAGACCACCAAACATGAATTCTCTCAGCCCCCCATTTCCATTCTTCAAAATATTGCCACACAGTCACTAATCCTTCTGGTAAAAGAGTTATCCCTACTCCTTGTTACAATTAATCCTTTATCTGCTTAGTCATAGGTATAGGGTGTGTTCCGGGAAGACTAGTATCTCTGGTGTGATGGGTGCTGAGCCCTTTTCAGGCTGCTTTCCACTTTTGGTGTCCACCTGTTTTACCTAACTCTAACCTGTGGCTCCAAGAAACTGCCTGAGCAACCTTTTAAGAATTGCACTGCTCATCTCCTGGTGTGAAGAAGAGGCTAGAAAAGGTGCCCTAAAAATTGTCTGCTTACCCAACCCTGGCCGGATTACCACAGCAGGCAGGGAATTCCACTCACCATTGACACATGGAATGTGCACTCACTTATAGACAGCACAAAATCCAGTAGACCTGAAAGACAAACAGCTCTTGTTGCAGGAGAACTCAGCAGGTATCACATCCAAATTGCAAGCTTGAGTGAAACAAGCTGGCAAATGAAGGTAGCTTATTGATGTTGGAGCTGGATACATGTTTTTCTGGAGTGGCCGTAGTGAAGGAGAGTGCTTTGAACCTAGTGTAGCTTTTACAATCAAAACTAATCTAATCAACAAGCTTGTATGCCTCCCAGAAGGAGTGAATGACAGGCTCATGACAGTGTGATTGCCACTTGCAGGAAAATATGCCATCATCATCAGTGCCTTTGCTTCCACCGTGATGAACCCTGGTGAGGTGAAAGAAAAATTTTATGAGGACCTGGAGACCCTTATCATCAATGTGCCAAAAGAGGACAAGCTTAAAATTCTGGGTACTTTAATGTTACAGTAGGCTCATAGTCCTAGGGAGGAATGGAGTTGGAAACAGCAACAGCAGTGGTCACTTACTGCTGAAGACTTGTTCATCTCATGATTTTCTCATCACCAACACTGTCTTCTGTTTACCTAAATGCAATAAAACTTTGTGAATGCACCCACGTAATGAACATTGGCATTTAACAGACAATGTGATTATAAGGAGAAGAGACAGACGGGATGTGAGAGTGATGAAGGCAACGTGTGGCACAGTGTGCTGAACTGATCATAGACTTATCCTCTCCAAGCTGAATATTCATATTCAACAAAAATGGCATCCCCAAAACAAAATGACTACCAGAAGAATTAATGTCAACAAATTAGAGCTCTTCTCTGAGTGGGAACAGTTTGTTGCTAACTTGGAGGGAAAGTTGAGCCATCACACAGTTGGCAACAGTGGAGCAGAAAAGGAGTGGGCAGCTTTCAGAGATTTGGTGTACAACACTGCATTTGCTCATCTGCGTCAGAACACTCACAAACACCAAGACTGGTTTGATGAAAGTGATGGGGAAATTCAGAAGCTGTTAACTGAAAAAAATGAGAACTCCACAGGGTTTACCTCCTGGATAGTTCAACCATCTCTAAGAAGGCAGCATTTAACTCCATCAAATGTAAAGTATGGAGGGGTGGAGCCAAGATGGTGGTGTAAAAGCAGTGACTTGCTTGAGCTCTCCCCCAAACCCCTCCAAATACCTGTAAAAAATGGCTCTAAACAAATTCTAAAGTAGCAGAACCCACTAAAAGGCAGAGTGAAACAAATTTCCAGCCCAAGACAACCTGGATGGTTGATCAGAAAGGTATATCGTGCCAGGCAGGCAAAGGAGTGCAGTTCAGCATGGGTATGCAGGCCTCAGTGAACCTGGAGCAGCCCTCAAGGACTGAATCACAGGCAACTATGGAGGTTTCCAGACTTCTCAACCCACAAACATCAAAGACAACTTTGAAGGTCAATAGGAAAAGTCTGTGACTGCGGTGAGACAGAAGCTTGGTCCCAGTCCTAGTCCCCATGCAACCCCAGGGTGACAGCTGCTTCTGGAGCTTCTGGCCCACAGACTGAGGGGGAATCAAGTGGCTGATCAGAGGGGGATTGCAGGGATCTCTTTGCTGGTGCTGAGGTGGAATTCTCTTGCTTTGGCTGTGCTTGGATCTGGGTCACAGTGGTCACACCGCTGGCGTGGTGGAGCTTGAAGTGGTGGTGGAGAAGAAATCCTTCTCACAGTTCCAAGGCAGAAAAGAGTGTTTGTGGTCACTCATAGACCAGAGAACAGACCAGGAAAGGAGTAAACACCTACCCCTTGATCATACCACCTTGGAAGAACTGAAAATTTACAGGTCCCTAGAAGTATCTCTGGAAACAGCTGCACAAAACCCCTGAAGCTTGGGACAGTACACCCACCACACTGGAAGCAGAGCCCTACATTAACACAGAGTTTATAACTCAAGTAATTGAGTTATAGGATCATGAGAAAATCTTGCAAAAAAAGTCAGACCATAGAATCTTTCTTTGGTGACAAAGAAGAGCAAAACATACAACCAGAAGAAGACAACAAAGTCAAAGCTTCTACATCCAAAGCCTCCAAGAAAAATATGAATTGGTCCCAGGCCATGGAAGAGCTCAGAAAGGATTTTGAGAAGTAGAGGAAAAACTGGGAAGAGAATAAATGAGAGTATGCAAGAAAATCATGAGAAACAAGTAAACAGCTTGCTAAAGGGGGCCCAAAAAAATACTGAAGACAAAAAGTAAAGTACAACAGTAACAGCCACATTGTGTGATGATTAACGTTGATAGACTTAGCACTTCTCAGCAATGCTAGGATATAAGATCTCTCCATAGGTCTCATGATGGAAAATATTATCCACATCCAAAGAAAGAACTATGGAGTTTGAATGCAGATCAAAGCATACTATTTGCTATTTTTTTCTCCTGTTTTGTTTTGTTTCCTCTTTCTGGTGGTTCCTCCTATTGGTTCTAAGTCTTCCTTACAACATCACTAATGTGATAATATGTTTAATAGGAATGTATATGTATAGCCTATATCAGATTGTGTGCCGTCTTGGGGAGAGAAGGGGAGAAAAATTTAAAACTCAAGAGCTTATGGAAGTGATTGTTGATAAATCAAAATAAATTAATTTAAAAAAAAAAGTAAAGTACAAGCAAAGCTTAGAGAGATGCAGGATTCGTGGCTCAGTAAGAAGGCAGATAAAATTCAGTTTTATGCTGGTAGTTATAATCCAAAGCACTTTTTTAATGCCCTGAAGCCTATTTATGGGCCAAAGACCTATGGTGCATCTCAACTACTCAGTGCTGATGGAGCCACATTGATTAGTGATAAGGATATGATTCTAGAGAGATGGATTGAACACTTCCATAGTGTCCTCAACAGGTCATCATCAATGCTGATGCCATTGACCATTTACCTCAGATTGAAATCAATCCCCCCCGCCCCAGCTGAAGTTCCAACTGAAGAAGGGGTTTTGAATGCCATTAGGCTCCTTTTATGTGGCAAAGCACCTGGTGTTGATTCTATTGTAGCTGAGATTTATAAAGTGGGGATTCCATTATTCATACAAAAGCTGACTGAAATTTTCCAGGTTATATGGCAAGAGGAGGTTATCTCCTAGGAGTTCAAGGATGCCTCCATTGTCCGTTCTATAAAGGTAAAGGAAATAGATTGTCCTATGACAATCGCAGGGGTTGGGGGAGAAAGGTGTCTTGCTATTAGTCATTGCTGGCAAGATTCTTGCCAGGGTCCTCCTTAATAGGCTGATCCATTCACTGGAAGATGGTCATCTGGCTGAGAGCCAGTGTGGCTTCAGAAAGGGCTGAGGAACAGTTGATAGGGTGTTTGCTGCCTGAAAACTCCAGGAGAAATGCCAGGAGCAGAACAGAGGTCTGTACACAATGTTTGTAGATCTGACCAACACCTTTGATACTGCCAGTCATGAGGGCTTATGGAAAATGAAGTCAAAATTTGGTTGCCTAGAGAAGTTCATCAGCATCGTACATCAGTTTGATGATGGCATGGTTGCCTAGGTTCTGGATAATGAACAACGCTCTTGTGCTTTCCCAATCACTGATGGAGTGAAACAAAGGCTGTATACTTGTTCCCATGCTTTTTGGCATGATGTTTTTAACATGTTGTCAAATGTTTTCAATGAAGATGAACACAATGTCAAGATCAGCTACCTCACTAATGGTAAATTCTTCAACTTGAAAAGGCTACAAGCCAAGACCAAAGTGGATGGTGTATTGGTGCGAGATTTTCTATTTGCAGATGATTATGCAGTCAATGCATTCTCTGAAGCTGAGATACAACAAAGCATGGATCAGTTGTCTACTGCTTGTGCTAATTTTGGTCTAACAATTAACACTAGGAAAACACAGATGCTCCATCAGCCACCCCACACCATCCATAAATGGAACCAGTGGTTACAGCAATTGGAGAACTTTTTAATAATGTGGATAAGTTCACTTACCTTGGTAGTGTACTTTCCAGGGATGTATACATTGATAATGGTGCTGACTCTTGCATTGCCAGAGCTAGCTTAGTGTTTGGGAGGCTCCAAAAGAAAGTATGGGAGAGAAGAGGCATTAAACTGACTGCCAAGCTGAAGGTGTACAGAGCCATTGTGCTGACCTCATTGTTGTATGTCTGTGAAAACTGGACAGTATGTCAGCATCATGTCGGGAAATTGAATCACTCCCATTTGAATTGTCTTAGGAAGATTCTGAAAATCACCTGGCAGGATAAGATACCAGACATTAAGTTCTTTTCTTGAACTAAACTGCCAAGCATTCAAACTCTGCTTCAGAGAGCACAGTTTCAATTGGCTGGCCCATCATTCGAATGTAAAACATGTGCCTGCCAAAAAGACTATTTTATGGAAAATTCACACAGGGCAAGTATTCACACGGTGGTCAGAAGAAGCGATACAAGGACACTCTCAAGGTCTCTCTTAAGAACTTTGGAATTGATTGTGTGACATGGGAGACACTGGCACAAGACCGCTCAGCATGGCATGCCCACATCGGAGAAGGTGCTGTCCTCTATGAACAAAGCAGAATTGAAACAGCTCAAAGGAAACACAGGATGCACAAATTTAGAGAATCCACCCCAGATGTTCACGTGGACTATTTGTGCCCAACCTGTGGTAGAGCCTTCTGAGCTTGTATTGGTCTGATCCACAGTCACCCACTGAAACTTGGCTCTAGCATAGTGATGTCATTTGGGTCCTCTTCAAAAACAAAGAACAACCAACCAACCAGTCATAGTCACAAAATTTTAGAGGTAGAAGAGACTTCAGTAGCCATTCAGTCTATGAATAGCCAATCTACTTTCATACTGGAAGTGAATTTTCATTATATCTGACAAGTAATCATCTAGGACATACTTAAAGACCTCCAAACAGGGAACCCACCACTTTCTGAAACAGCCATTCCACTCTTTGGAAAGTTCTTAATTTTTAAGAAGTTTTCTCTGACATCAGGCCTAAATTTGCCTCTTTGCAAATTCTGTCTTTTGCTCCAGGTTCTGTCCTATGAGGCCAAGCAAAACAAGTCTG